GCCCACTCCGGCGGCGGGCCGCCGGCCGGCGCAGGAGCCGGCGCACCGCCGGGGCCGCCGGTGAAGGATACGACCTGAAAGCTGAGCGCCTTGGAATTCGTGCGTCCAAAGCTGCCGTCTTGGACGCGCGCATACTCCTGGTTTTCAGTGTACCGCGTCTCCCACGCCGCCGTCGCCGTCGGCGCCGCGTTGCCGGCCGCGTCGGTCGCCCGCACCGACACCGCCCAGTCGCCGTAGGAGACGCCCCAGAGCGTCACCGGCGACACGCACGGCGCCCACGCCCCGAGCGGCGGCGCGTCCCCGGCGGCCGCCTGCGCCTGCGCAAGCCGCCTGTACGGCTTCTCCTCGGCGCCGTAGGTGGCCCTCAGCGCCGGCGGCGCGGCCGGGCCCCCTGGGGCGCCGGCGAACGCGACCTGGCACTCGAATGCGACCGGGGACGCATCCTCCGCGGAGAAAGTGAAGGTTGCGTTTGCAAGGGGCGTGGCGAGCTTGGGCTGGCCCGGCGGGACCGTCGGGAGGGTGGATTTGAAGGCCGCGACAGGCGGGGTGGAGTCGATGGCAAACGTGAGGGAATCGTAGGCGTCCTCGCCTGTCACCTTGACCTGCGTGTTGGGTTGGGAGGGTTGCGTAATGGATGCGTCAGGTGACCAGCGGATGACGGGGGGCCAGGCAGGAGCGGTGCACGCCTGGCAAGTACCTTTCCGACGCGCCCTCCTGGGTAGGGGTACATCAAAGCCATGGCAGCCGTCTCCTTGCCCTGCAGGCCCGAAATCGGCCGGCACGCATGCAATCCCCGCCCCTGTAGATGATGCTGACCTGAAATGTGTACTGCCCGTCAACGAGAGTGTACGTGGCCGGGCTGACGCACGGCCGCCAGCCGTGCGCCAGGGCCGCCGCGGCCGCCGGCGCGGGCGTCGTCGCCGACAGCTTGCACTGGAACCCGCCGCCCGGCGCGGCGCCCGATCTAGCGGCAAAGGGGATCGACACCGCGCGCTCTTTCGACAGCCGCCCCGGCGCCGCGCCGCGGTCGATGGCGGGCACCGCGACCACGCACTCGCCGCCCGCGCCCGCCCCGGCCGCCGCCGCCGCCTTGCCAGCGGCGGCGGGATTCTTCGCGCTCGCCAGGACGCCCGAGAAGCTTCCCTGGACGACCAAGGCGTATTTCTGGGCGCCCAGCGTCGCGGGGACTCGCTTGGCGGCGACAGTGATCTGGATGTTGCCGGCCGGGAAGTCGTCGTGGGCCACCCTCTCGACGGTGTTTACGTCATCAACGAAGCCGTTGCCGCGCAGCACGGTGCCGCCCAGGCCGGCGGCCTTGACCTCTGCTCATGAGTGCGGCAGGGTGGCAGGGTGCGCGCCAAGGGCGTGGCATGGAGGTTTTTGCGAGGCAGGCTTCCGGGTGATTTGGGGCGGATCACCCATGAATCGACTGCCATGTACCGCTCCCACGCCAGCAGACACTCATGAGGTGTGGCGGGAAAA